GTCACGGATGTGAGATGGTCGGTGATGGTCGTCGACTAATATCTTCGGGGGCGGAATAAATGCGTGGTGGTCCACGGCGACGGTATGAAGATTGTATCAGGAGCCGGAAAGTTGGAGGGGAAGACTCGAAACCTCGATGAATGGTAGGCATTGTCGGCGGCTCAATTCATCGTAGATTAACAGCCAGTCCAAGCAGTCCAACTCCAAATAATGCTGTTTCAGGCTCCTAATACTTTCTTTCAAAGACAAGATCATGAGTGACTTAGAGAAGAACCAGAGTCTAGTGAAAGGTTTAAATATACTCCTCAGAGAATCGAGAGAATTATTAAAGAAATTTACGTTTTTGCCTAGTCTGAAACAGATGTTGAAATATATTAATATGAGATGCAATAATCACTTTGCAATTTAAGCGTAGATAACCACAGTTTTTTAACTTTTGTCTGCATTAATTACAATTAAACCGTTGTCATTCAGTTTTTTTGGTAAGCCTCTCATAACTCACACACAAATCAAAGGAGGTTCGAAAACTGTATCATGATTTTGCTTTGAATAACGCAACAAGCTTAAATGGTGATGCGTCTCTTAAATTATAAACATTCGTCAAGATGAAAAGTGCCTTTTCAACGGAAGAAGTAAAGCTTCTTTCCTTTACCATTGGTAGGTCAGAGTAAAATTTTAACCCCAGATCGAATGGATTTCTTTTTTATACTGCTCAGTTGTTTTCTATTGAACTGATTATTGCATCTTCTTTCACGCTTACGATGTTGGATAAAGGAACGTCGTTTCTGGTTTCGTAATTTTAAATAAAGCGTCTTTTTGTAAATTTTAAAATGGTTTCTGTCATACATTAGAATTTGCATTGTAATTCATCATGCAAATTTGCCATATATTAGCCTGTTGATGTCACTTCCTATTGATTTGATATTATTTAAGTTTTATGCTGAAGGATCGTACAAAATCATAAGTCAGCTAATGCGTCTCCTGGTACGTTCAGACATGGAAGTTGTGCGCGAACAAACTCCGTTAGGCTAAGACAATGGTGCTGCTAGCCATTCACCAACGATGCTTTTTCAGTCTAGAAACCCCGGAAGAGTTACCCTTCTCTGAATCCAGTAGACTGCATAAAGGTTGGGGAAACCGGACAACGGTTAACGAGGATTGGCACTCTGAATGAATTGCGGAAAAATAACTCGCCATAAACATGTTCATAGAAAAGTGAAAAGCGAAATAGCGCAAACTGCAGCATCGGTTTGAACGACACCTACTATTTGGCAGACTATAGGACGTGATTTGTAAACGGACCCTGAAGGTTGTCAAGAATTTAATGGCCAGCAATAATGAGAGAACGCTATACAGTGATGCCCTTACTGACTCTGTATCACGGCAACTGTAAAGGTCGATTTAGAAGTAATTGGAATATGCTAGACTTGATGATCTATCACACTTGTTGCTCTATGGAATTCGTGGTGACTAAGTATTTCTCAGGAAGGGCTTCGACTCCCAAGTTCGAAGCAAGGCGTCATAATAAGAAGAAGATTGTACTATTTCTAGTGAGGTGCAAAATTATGCAACCTCGTATAGCACTTCCGCCTCTGTAGATGGCCAAACGTAGAAAAATTAAAATAATAAAGAGAAAGCAACGAGCTGAAAGTAAAGCGATTGAGAAATTCTACGATGATCTGGAATTCGTAGCGAAGAGAATACTTCACCCACCTCTGTCAACGGATATGACAATCCCAATAATCAGGAAAAAGATGAACATTAAACACAGCGAAAGCGAAAGAAATTAACCTGAAGATCGCTTTGCAACCTCCGCCCCGGCATTAACCCTGTTTTCCAGCAAACGCCAAAGCGTTAGTAAACATGAAAACACCCAAACGGAAAGTTTCTAGACTGTGTGTACTGGCGGACAAGAATCGAACAATAATGAGCACATTGGTCATAGATGAGAACATAATCTATGCAGGGTCACGCCATAGGTTTCTACGTTTCACAACTGCTATCGATGTAGCAAAAGAGGAACGGATCAAAGGAGCCAAAATGCCCCTGCTGCATGGAGAACTACGATTTAACTCTGAAGCTTTAGCGGATGCGCTGCTAGTAATGAACTTTGAAATGAACCTGTGCTAGGGTAGATCTTGGGCATTTTGTCAAGGCCGTCAAGACTGTCGTTCGAATGTTACGCCAGACCGTCGAGTGGAAAAGAAATCAAAGCAGAGGACCTTTAAGCGGGATGCTAATGGTTAGAAGAGTTCAGGTGAAGTCCAAAGGGAGAATGAACAACATTTACCCTGTAAAGACATATAGTAGAAGTTTGTAGAAGACTACGAAGGCTACAAAAGAAAGCGATTAAGAAAGGCTACGGAGAGAAAGAAAAACCGGAAAGCTTTGAAACGGGATATTCAC